AATATAGATCGTTAATATACCTTATTCTTCATAACTACAAATCCTTAGAATTGTATACTTTCACAAATTGTCAGATAGATACACTAAAATACAAATTGTTAATGTACCTTCTTTTTTATAAACACATATCGTCAGACAAAAATACTAAAATATAAATTATTAATATATTTTTTTTTTCATAAATACAAATCGTCAAACAGGTATACTAAAACACAGATCGTCAGACGTTATCATAATGTCCAAATAGCTTGGTTCACGATTTTGAATTTAAAAATTGATAGACAACACTGTAAAAACCTCAATAACAAAAAAAAAACTAATTATATTTTAAACTAAAATCATGTGATAAAGGCAAAATAGGTAATAAAAATCAGTAACTAAACAATCCCTTAACATTTTCGTCAACACAGGATTGCATTCAATTTTTTTCCAAAATTGGAGGACTTTTTTTATATTAAAAATTTGATAGAACTAAAATTAATTTACACACCAAAAGGGGAATCTTAGCTTAATTAATTATTAAAAGGAACATGTCTTCTTTGCTGGTGCCAAAAGTAAATTGACAGTAATCACCCTTTCTAATTTTTTGTACTGTAAACCTTGTTACAAATAAAGTTTGGAAAAAAAAAGAGATAAAAATATGGTAATTTAAGAAATAAAATTTCTTAAATTATCATATTGCTGACATTGTACTCTCAATTATATGATTAGATTCACATTATTTGAATTATTAATGTCTGTTACAAATTTGACTAAAAATTACTGGGCCTGGACATTCTCTAACAAATTTATCTAAGAGTTCACGAGAATAATTAATACAAGTTTGAACACCCTGTAGAAAAAAAATACACAAATATCATACGAATAAGGACAATATATGCAAGGTTGGCAAAAGGTAATTTGAGGTGGAAGGTGACAACATTGAATGAGAATCTTTTTTATTTTTAATATTAAATTTTTTTAAAAAATAGTTTATTTTTATTTTTTATGTGAGAGAGAGACAGAAGAAGAACGTGTTATTGTTGCTAAGAAAAATGTTTTAACATTTGTTTTTTTATTTTTTATCAGAGAGAGAGTTTAATTTTAATTTTTTTTATATTTTTTACTTATTTTTCATATAGAGAGAGTAGGTAGGGCTAAATATGAATTTACTTTTGAGTACTTTTTATTTTTTCAATATATGATTTTTAGGTTTCTATTATTATGGATTCAAATTACTACAATAAAAATTTTAATTATATTTAATTTTTTGGGTTTTTTTTTAATTTAAAATTTTTTTAGGTTAGTAATTTGGAGGTCGATCTCATTTTCTAGACTTATTTGATGATAAATCTATTAAGAAAACTTGTTTAACATTAAGTCTATTTTAATCTCTATTGTCCAAAAGACTTCCAGTAGTTATGTTTAAGTAAAACAAATTTGAAAACTAACCACTCTTAAATTTTAGGAATTTGACTAATATTAAAATTTTTTCTTATATCTATCTATAGAATAAAACTATAGTAATATTCAAACACAAAAAATGGTATCATTTAAATATAAAAAATAGTAATATTTAAATACAAAAAAATAGTAATATTCAAAAAAAAATAACATTGAGTAGTAATATTTGAAAAAATAACAGTAGGAACATGCTCAACAAAAAACTGTAACATGAAAAAAATAGTAACATTCAAAATCTAAAAATAAAGGATGAAACCTCTAATTTTTAACATCAAAAAAAGTAACATAGAAAAGTAATAATATGCTCAACAAAAAATAGTAACTTGAAAAAAAAATAGTAATATAGTCAATTAGAAAAAAATAATAACATTGTCAACAAAAAATGTAATAATATGAAATATTGAACAAAATTGGAGACTATTTACCAAAAAAAATAAAAACTAGGGGTCAAACCAATAATACATTGAGCTTCGATTGTGTCCTCTCTTCATCGGCTTCATTGTCTTCAATTCTCAGGAGCAGCACCGCCACCAACGCCAACGTTCAACACAACGTTTTCGAAGCTCCTCTTCTCGGTGAACTTGGCGAACATGCCTTGTGTTCTACTTCATTTTTTTTTTCTATAGAATAAAAGTGTTTTAAGGAGGAAGAGTGCACTAGAGTGATGATACATCGGGGAGAGAGAAAGAGAGAGCATATGAATTTAAATTTGAATTTATGAGTAAATTAAGAGAAAATAATTCTCAACTTTGAAAAATTAATTTAAACCTACTGTCAAAGTCTTCAAAGTTTTTAACTTTTTATGACTAAGCAGAATAACATTGTTAATGATGTTTTTAGGATTTAAAAAATAATGGACTTAAATACTTATTGATGATGCATAAATTAATTTTTGTGCAAAATCAAGAATCAAGTGTATGAATGGATGAAGTTAATGAGCAATAAATAAAACAATCAATAATGAAATTGTAAATAAGGAGCCAATACAAAAAATTATAGTGGTTCAGTCCGGGTGACCTACTCCACTCTCGAGAACGGCAACGGTGGCTTGGATCTTTTTATTAATGGGTGAGGTCACCAGAAAGAGTATTCTCTAAGAGTATTACAATGCTTATAGAGAAAGAGAGAACAATGTGTGTAGGAAAGTGTAGTGTGTGTAGGGATCTCAAGACTATGAAGGCATGTCCTCTAAATATAAAGGACTTACATTATATAGACACACCAAGACGGTGACGTAAGGAAGGGGACTTCCACTATCTTGGTAAGTATAATCTTAATAGGAATGAATCTCTACATCCCGATATTCTCTCGCTTGTGTCTCTATTCCCGTCGGAGGATGATCTTGAGCTGGGCTGATTCTGATCTTGAGCTTAGACTTAGAGTAGTATGGACTTGGACTTGCATTGGAGTGGAGAAGAGGGACAAGGAGGCAAGAACCAAGAGGGTCTGGCCATGGGCGACGCCCATTTGGGCGTTAGCCTTTGGTGTTTTAGCCCACTTGACTCCTTGTTAATTTACGGCCTCATGGCTCCTTGTTGTGTTACGTCTTTAGTTGGATTTTTCTTCGGACTTTCTCAGTTTATTTAAATTGGGCTTAGTCCAGTAAAATTCGGACTCATCACTTATTATTAAAATAAAAAACAAATTAATCACCAAACAAATTTTCTTGACGAATTCAAATTATTATAATTTCATTAAAAAAGACTTAGTTCCAATTTTCGTTACTTAGAACCAAAAGCCCAAACTTTTTCTTTTAATATTGTTGAGCCGCCTGCCGCGGGGGACATATGATACATAGAACCACCCGACACGGCCTCTTCCAAAAAACAAAAAAAAAAAACCACCCCATACGACACTACATATTGGACCCCCCAACGTGGTACCTTCTCTGATTACCCAAGGCCGATCTCAATAGCAGAAAAAAGTGAAAGTATAAGTTAAATCCAGATCGGCTCCATAGATTATTATTTAATTTTTTTTTAATTTTGCTATAAAATAAGTTTTGTATCTTGATAATGTCTGCAATAAATAAATAAAAATAATAGGTGGATCATTATATTCTCTATGTAGTCAGGGGAGGATAATTCCTTTTTATTAAAGAAATGTCTATGACATAATAGTCACTTGCTTTGCATGGTATTCTTTTTCAATTATTTTAATTTTCATTATTCATGCCTATTACTATAATTTTAACTAGGAGTGTCAACCGTATTGTGTTAAGCAGATTCGTATCGGGACTAATCTGGTTTGTGTGAAAAAAATATTTAAACTCGTACACGATTTGTTTAATTAAACGACTGAAAATCTGTAAATCGAACACAATTCCTTTATCAAACAGGTTACACGATACTGACTCTTTTAACTTGTTTAATAATTTTAATTAATCTAATTATTAAACTGCATATATTATTTTGGCTAAATTTTTTAAAAGTAATTATTAATCTATTAATTTTATTTAAATGAGTAAATATATGATAAACGAGTTAACATATTTTATTTGAATACGATCCGTTTATTAAATGAGTTTAATAAGTTTATCCATTTATCATCCGTATCCCTTAAAATCTCACTCAAATTTGCTTAACCCTATATTAATTTAGATCAATTAATTATATTGTATAGTTTTTTGATAAGTATAACTATAAGTTTTGCACTTAACAAATTACTAGCACGATCAATCACATGCCATTCCATTCATTGATACATTTTTTGTTAATATTGGGTTTTACATTAATTTTTTGAAAAAAAAAAAATTACCCATTGCACTTAAAAGAATTGAACAAAACAAAAGGGGTTCATCATTGCTTATTTTTGTCCATCCTCGCATAGGTTTCTTTTCTAAAAAAGTAATGCTACTATTCGATAAGTGGGTTTCGATATACAGTACTTATATTTTCGGATCAAGAATTTATATCGATGTATTATTTATTAAAATTTGATTATTTGATAACTGATTATATAATACACACTCTTATTTATATCGATAAAAAACTGTAACCTAAACCTATTCATATATAACTTAATATTTATGTTTCCTATCACACGTCTAACATACTTATTTATGGTATATTAAAATTCTTCAAATATAATTCTATTTTATATAAAATTCTCACACTGATTACCCAATAAACTCTCATTCATAATAATTAGAAAATTTTGGTCAAATTCCAACAAGTTTAGTGGTTCCTATTAAAATTTAACAACGAAAATTGTGCCACATTATTTAGTATGAAAAATTTGATAAATTTCTTTTTGATAAACACAGCATAGTCCTTTCTAAAATCCCTCTCTATCCCATTCCGTTGCCAATAAACCAAAGAATTTAGACACTATCGGAATAACATAATAGGAAATCATTTCCAATTTTTTGTATACTAAACCAAATTAGCTTCATCAATACATATTTCAATTCAATTAATTAAGTTCTGCATGATTTTTTAAAAATATTTAGAACCTATCATCATCATCGATTTAAAAAAAAAAGGCAAACTGTCATCAAATCATGGTGGTAAACTTTTCCAAATGCCTTTTGCAAATACGGTCTCTGCTTAGCCCTTTTCATTTCCGTCCACTTATCAATTGCTCTCTCTCTCTCAGTGAAATTGAATCATGGGTTTCGTTTATCTTGCCATCAAGATACCGAAGGCTATTACCATCGCATTCTTCGTGAACTTAGTAAACCATCTGAAATTCATGGTTATAGGGGCACTCACTCATCTGGGTCTGTACAAACCACCACCAGAAGAAGAGAATTCCAGGGATAATTGGAACAATTATATTCTGATATTAGATGGGCCATCTCCATCTTTAGTCCCAATCCCAGTCCACGTCGTAACAGAAGCCATCAGGAAGAGAGTCCCAGTAGTCCATTACGGCGATTTCCTCGAAAGATTTGGAGCAAAGGAAGCTGGAGGAAAGGTATGCACAATCTGCTTGGATTGGATAGAGAAGAGGCATGAGATTAGGGAGCTTTCCAACTGTAGCCATGTTTTCCATAGAGAGTGCCTTGATACTTGGGTAGATGAGGGTCAGGTCACTTGCCCTTTGTGCAGATCTATGCTGCTTTCGCCTAAGAAAATTTTGGCTAGGTGTGGTGGTGGAGGAGGAGATCCAACAGGGGCTTCGGAAAGGAATAACAATTTGATTGGTGAAGGCCATTCCAGCCGTGCAAGTTGACTTTGGTGTCATTATCCTCAAGCGCCAACGTGATTAACCTGTGAGTTGTAACTTAGAAGTAGGCTCCAGATTGTATCATGTCATGTGTGATTATTAGTGTTCTGTTTCTTTATTGTTCCTTTTTCTTTATATCCGATGACAACCGAGCATAGACACCCCATTATTCAAGGGGACATGAACTACTTTCTTCTTGAGTCAGTCATGAACGCAGAACAACCATCCATACTCTCTACTTGCAAAAAAATACCCTTCTCTAAGGATATGGCGCATGTCTGGCCATGGAAGTCTAACATGGAACCAAATGTGTTTTCACATGTTTATGATTAATGATGTTCTTAGAGAAAACATCTGTGACTACATTTGTTTTACCTGTAATAATACTGTATATATTACAATCACATTTGGTCATAACAACCCTACCCATATCTCATTAACAGCAAACATAGTTGTTACAACTCATAACATACATTGGCCATTTATGCAAAACATGGTATTTACATACTAGAATTGAGTCTGCTGACTCGGACCTTCATCGGATTTGACTCCCTTGGTTGGGATCTATAATAGCATTGACTCGTTAATACATAAACATTTTTCGAGTCATTTGAAAATCCATGGCATCGCAATTGTGAAATCAACATATGATTTCTCAAAATAAACACATGATAATAGGTCTATCAATAGGTTGGACTCGGGTCCCGAATCCCATCCATTAAACCGCCAGATATTAAAAAACCAAATTCATATTCGAATTTGTTAACAATCAGACATCCAATCCAATAAATCCTATCTGAATCAATTGAATTCCAACAAAAAATGTCAAATAATCAAGCATTTCACCAAATTAAGGCAGAAACATAATTGGTAAGTTTTCATGTCCGATATACTGTGGTCAATCTGTTGGTTGGCATTTCTGCTCACTCCTAGTATTCACAGACCAATGAACAGAGTGTTGTGGGTGTCAGTGTACATACACTCTTTTCACCTCGTTACAAATGAAAATCGCCAGAAAGATAGGAGAGCATCTGGATGTTTACAAAGTGCCACAACATTAGACAGGTTTTCATTCGTGAAAGGCTTGAACTAGCTGCAGTGAATGCTCCAACCGTTTGCTGTGCTCTTCGCAATCAATTGCCACTCTTTTAGTCTCCGGCTATCATAATCTCAAGGTATATTTAATGTCTCAGGCATTCGCGTGCAATTGCTTTGCCATCCAACTTCCGCTTGCAATATATATTGATGAGATATTTTCGAAATACTCCGAGATGAAGACACGTGTTCTCGGTGTCATTAATCCTTGTTACCGAGATCACGCACTCATCGGGTCACAAGTCCCCTCTCCTCCGAGGTACTGATCATGGGGATCGAGTGGCATACAGTACGTTTTTATGTACCGACACGTACCCTCGGTGTGATATGGTACATCGGTCGCTAGGCCTCCCCCTCTCGGATTCAAGATGTACCTATTCCTCGGCTCCGAGATGTACCTCTTCCTCGGCTCCGAGATGTACCCCCCTCATCCAGGATAAAGTTCTCTGATCGGGAGCCTGGTCCGGCGGGGCCTCATCAGACAAATCCACTATTGCCACCTCAGGCAGATCCACCAAAACTTGCACCGGCGTTGGAATCTTGCCCTCGGCAGCAATCTCGGCTTCGGCCTGTTCCATCTCAGCCGAGGGCACGTATTTGTGCATCTGGAAGAGCGGGGAGTCTGACGGGATCCCAGCAGACTGGAGCGCCTCGTCCCACCCCTTCTTGAAGAACTCCTTGTTATTTTCTTCAAGAGCGGGG